GCACCATCCCAGCACTCTTTCTGCTGGATTCAACCAGTCCTTCGCATCACCTTTGCTCATTGTGCTCGATACCTGCAATGATGCACCATGCGCCAACGCACCCATGAGGCCTTTCGTTCGATTCTATATTGTGCGTAGGTTTTGGACATGTCACCGCCGTGACTACCATGCTGCATCACAAATCAACAAACGATCAAACCACCACAAAATGTGTCTGCGCGAAATGATTGTCCTTCTCCTTTTCTTTATTATGCTTCGGACATTCTGATTAGTCAGGTTGTGCCAAACCCTGGTTTAGTACACGCCTCATTAGGAAGTATCCAAAAGCCTTTATTTCAATCCTCCTCCTACGCATTGGAATCAACTTCATTCATATAAACCAGCACCATTACAGAGCCACTTAGTATTTATGCATTCTCTGCAATGTTCACGTCTTCTTGACTATCCTGGTCCATGCCCAACCAAACCGCACCAGCATTAGGCACCCATGGCCCTGCAGGCCTTCAGTTATGTGGTTGTGCGCGACCAATCAACGCATGCCTACACTTCTTGTCCATCAGACTCCCTTCTTTGGTTCAGAAGCCACTAAACCCAGCACCATCCCAGCACTCTTTCTGCTGGATTCAACCAGTCCTTCGCATACTTCGCCCTGGAAACCGCACCATGCACTAGGGCACCCACAAGGCTTATTTCATATTCATGTCTCAGGTGTGGACTTCACACTGTGCCTATATGTGCCTATATATTGGCTGTGCAGCAAACTCAATGTATTAATCAGCCATCCAACCAATTATCTCTCCGCTCTGCTGGGACAACACTCTGAACCTCTCCAGCTTCATCAAACATCTTGCAATTGGTTATTTGTCAACTACTGCGAACATGTGCAACATGTCTAGCCGACAACATTTCGCGCTTCTTGGATAACGTCCTCCTTTTTTTTCTCTCGAATGCTGCATGGTCTTAATGAGAACTGTCCTACTCTGCCCATGTTGGCTGGCCCAGTGTACTACTTTGCCTACATTATAGTATAGTGTTTAACGGGAGTGTCTTGAGAGCCAGATTTGACTAAATTAAATAGATTCAATATGATTCAATAGATAATAGTGCCATGGGCCATAGTCATGTTGCCATGCAAGTAGTTAGCTTTGTCAGTCACTCCGTATTCAGAAGATGAGAGATAAACCATGGCACCGATTCCTCACTCGTGATCTGTTGCCGTATCGGTCCGTGGCCGGCACCCGACAGGTCAAGCTTTGCAAGGCCTTGAAAACCGTCGATAGGGAAGTCTGCCTTTGCACGAAAACCGCTGATGTGCGAAAACCGAGTCATCATCTGAAACGGCTTGGCCTGGGTTTTGTTACACAAGATCTCGAACATCACCTCTCGGGAAAAAACGACGAGTCATTCAGGGGATTTGGTCAGTGAGTCATCAAGTTATCCAGGGATTTGCTTTGAAGATGGGGCATCTCGTGGTCTGGAGCTCTGCATTGCTCTGCCTTCCTCGGGTTTTTCGGCTTCTGGGCCATCCAATTTGGGCAGTCTGCCATGCGACTCGCGACAGAGCCACAGGGTTTGCGCAGAGTTTTCAGTGCAAACGCGCCGGACCACGGGGCCTTTTTGGCCGATCTTTTTGGGCCCTTGAGGTGGGTGGTCTCAAAGATGATGCATGTCCATCTTAAACATAAAAGGAAACGAGAGAATCCAATGATATCATTATTATCATTATTATTCATTAACAATATTAATGATATCATTGGATTCTCTCGTTGTTGGACCATTTACTGCTGCCATCATCTCTCAGAATAGACGGTGAGTCGTGACGGGTGAAAGGTCAAAGAGTCGCGTACGAAGACCGAGGGACTCGCATGGAACCTCCAACGTCGTGTCTATCATGGAAGCGTCCTGCGACGGTGACATCCAGTCCTTTACAAACGTTTAGTGGAAGCGAATCTTTGGACATGTGAAGCAACTTGCTTGGACGTGTGGTCCAAGGTGGACATGGGGTCGATCGTTCCAATGTGGTTTCAAAGCAACGTCATGTTTGGGGAAGTGTTCAAGAGAAGGTGCAGTGGTTTGGACCAACAACCATGTCATCAATGCGCAAGGTGGCAAACAAAAACTTCACCGAGACGACTGAACCATGGAAGTCATGCACCATGCTCACAACTGGTGACACCGTCTGGTGACACCGTGTGACACACCCGAACCCGCCGAAGTCTCCAGTGGCTCCATCTCAAGCTTTCAGATGCTCTCAGCTCTCTCACTTCATTCCTTAGCTCTGGATTGAAACTTGAGTGGCCAACGAAGCAGCACACTTGAGCTCAAAAAAACCTGCGCAGGATCTGCTCGGCCTATGTCTAATGTCCAGGGAAGTCAACCAAAAAAGGACGCTATGCCCATGTAACAGCGATGACACTATGGTCCTCATGACACCCAGGGTACGCCGCCAGCAACACACCGCCGCGGACCGTCACGGTTGGAGTTTTAATAGTCAGCCCAGTGGGGAACCCAAACAGATCGGCTTCACATGTGAATTTGCGTGAAAGGAAGAACCATATCTAACTCCAGAAAGGGAACGTGGAGTGTTTACAAAGCAGAGTCTTGATGACATGTAAAGAAACATACAGTATCTTGCTAAAACATGTCCTTTAAACTTCCCCACACCATCCCACACCCAACTCCACAGGTCCCACGGCGTCCACCGAAAACTCTCTCGCCAGGCTGCGCGTCACCGTCCGCTGCTTGGTGGCGTCCTTGACGACCTTCTCGTCCGTGGGCAAGCCCTTCCGCTTTCGAATGTCATCCACCAACTTACCTCTCTCGGAGCACCGGCACGACCGGTCCGACCGGTGCTCCACGGGTGGGCGATGGTTGTCTCGAATCGTTGGAGGTTGGCGGTGAGCAACAAACAAGCTTGGGACGTGTGTCAAGGTGAAAGTTCAGGCAAACACCACACAACCAAGTAAGAGCATATGAAGGACTCATGCCTCACCCACTTGGTCTGTGAATCACTGTGAATCAGGATGAATAAAGCATGTGACGGCGTTCTGGAGATGCTTGGGATCTGCGCCGATTGGGAGCATGAAGCCTGAACCAAGCAAGGTGTTGTCGACCATTGATATAATACAGGGATATCAGTGGTTGACATGGACATGATAGAATATGACAGAATAGAACCTGATTCGTGATAGTTAACAAGAGAGAAGTACTACCGGAAACGCACCATTGATTGTGTCGTTATCATCCTCCAACCTAGTGCACCTGGATCTTTGCAAACACACAAGGCTAGGTCACTGCCATCTCTCCAACAGGTGAGCTATTTCATAGTAGCCATTCTGACCTGCCAGAACGAAAGCTGTTGCACCATCTTGCTTGACAGCGTCACTTTGAGCACTAGCTTCCAGCAAAGTTCGCACCACTTCCAAGTGGCCATTCATAGCTGCCAAATGCAAAGCGGTTGCACCATTTTGCATGGTAGCATGGATCTGAGCGCCAGCCACAAGCAAACGTTCCACCACTTCCAGGTGGCCGTTCTGAGATGCTATATGCAAAGCTGTTTTGCCAGCATGTGTTGTAGAATCAGTATCACTATTGGCCTGAAGCAGACTTTGCAACACCTCTATGTGGGCATTGTGAGCTGCCAAATGCAAAGCTGTGGCACCATATTGCGTCTTAGCATTGACTTCAGCGGCAGCTTCCACCAAACTTGACACCACTTCCAAATGACCATTCTGAGCCGCCACATGCAAAGATGTTGGGCCATCTTGCCCATCGCTTTTGCCACCCTGATGCCAACTTCGTACTACCTCATGGCCATCGTTTGAAGCCATAAGCACTGTAATTCCATCTCTCTCTGTTGCACCCACTTTAGCAGCAGCTTTCAGCAAACTTTGCACCACTGGCACGTTGCCATTACGAGCTGCCAAGAACAAAGCTGTGGAGCCATCATGGCGTGTAGCATCCACTTCAGCAGTAGCTTCCAGCAGAATTCGCACCACCTCCACGAAGCCATTGCGAGCTGCGAGCTGCAAAGCGCTGGCTTTTTGCTCACCTGACACACTCGGATCCTGGCGGGAGTGAAGCATTCGTACCACGCTCTTCAAGCGATTCCTTGCACAGGCCGAAACAAATTTTTGATTGCTTTCTGCATCATCTGACTGTAAATCCAACACCAGCAGCTGCACACTCTGCAGACCCGGCCCTGTGGTCAAAGGAGCATCATCACGCAGCTCACCCAACTCCATATCTAAAAGTCTCAGTCGAAACCTCGACACTGCAATCTGAGCTGCAAGAAACTCTTTGAGTGCCCGCACGGGTTTCTCACTCTGCAATATTGGGCCAAGCTCCTGAAAGGTGAGGCAATGCGTGGCCGAGATCTATTTTGCATGCCTGCAAAGATCAAAGTATATATATATTTATAGTAATAAATAGTCTGTATGATTAACAGTCATATTCATGCTTGATGACGTACTTCAACATGCTGCATGATAATTCTCCGTCTGCATCTATCTATATTAAAATAATGTGTATATATATAGTATACATATGAAGACTTGCTGTTTCATCATGTCTTTTCCTCGTTGTCATCTCCTGCTCCCCAAGTTCCGCCAGTTGTGCGCCAGACACAGCAGACAAGACCTCCAGCATCCGCTGGGGCGCATCAAACAGATTCATGTCCAGGACCAGCTACGCTGGCTGAACTTGTCTGGTCTGTCTGGCGACCTCATATCACCTCACCCTAAAAGTCCAAATAAGAAGTTACAGTAAAGCGTAGGGCTGCCAGGCTGTCCAAGAAGCTTGATTCTCAGTAAGGACATGGCCTACATACTCTTGGCACATGAATGATGCTCGAGCAAAACACGAAGCCGAGATTGCTGCGCGGAAGACCAATGGCATGGCAGGAGGAACGTCAGGTTTCTGCCATGCAAACAAATGTTCTTTTCTGCGTGGACAAAAGGTCTTGGTTGATGCAAACATTTTTTTTTTGCTCATCTGAATGATGTGAGCGCTACTGATATGTGATGTAAAATCACGGTAGTTGAGACATGTTGTGACACAGTCCCTGCTTCAGTCGGCATTGGCTTCTGGCCAAGTCGCATAATTTCCAAGAAAGCGTCCTTGCTCCTAGTAGCTTCTTGTTCCTAGTAGTAAGGCCAGAAGCGCCCCTGGTAGCGTCCTTGCTCCTAGTAGCGATGCCCTTTGTTCCTTGTAGCGATGCCTTTGCAACTAAGCTGCACCGAAAGACCTGATAGATAGAATAAAGTGGGTGTGGATGAATACCTGGGGGACCCTGATCGGCTAGTGGACCATTCACACATGGGACATGCAGAATTTGGTCCATCTCCCAATGATGTCCTTGGAGGAATCGATTCGTTTTGCTCACCAGCAAGCCGAACAAAATGGGATGGATCAACCATGGGGCCCCATCAAGAAAATCCAACTCTGCCCATCCACCGCACCAGAACGCGCCCCTAGTAGCACGAGTCCCGCAAACGCACGCCCCGCACGTGTCGTTCACGTGCCCAGGTGCGTGCGGTGTTGGGCGGGGGCGGCTGGTCACCCATCTCCTCCAGGTCTTCGGGGGAGCTCATCGACTGAAAGGGATCTTCCTGCGTGCGCTCCGCGAGCGCCGGAGACTTGGCGCGCGCGGGGAGACTTGGGGGCAGGTCAGTGATGGTCAGTGAAGACAGTGCCTTTAAAGAGACCATAGGGAGCTGTGGGAAAAATGGATCTGGAGGCACCAACAAAAAGACTGTTTCATGCGGCTTAAAAGAGAAAGTATGAGATAAACTTGTCTATCTACAGGTGTGCCTTTAGGTAGGGTGTTGTTGTAGTGGTAGATACTTGGATAGCTGGTCAACATCCGTGTCGTGGTAAAGGACACGTGACCAACATTCACCACCATCTGCGATATTCAGAGTCTGACGCTCCACTGCTGGCCAGGCGTTGATGGGTATAGGCCCTAGTATAGGCCTAAAAACCCTTCCTTGCAAGCTTGCAGCTCCAAAAGGAAGATCCTTCCGGAAGATCTGCCGATTTGCAAAGCATTCCAGTTTCCTCTCTCCTTTCCTCTCTCAGTGGATGGTTTTCGTTCCCAGCCTCAGAGAGTTCCCAGTGACTGAAGGCCACGTGGAAGGAGACGTGCCCCGAGGCCGCCTGAAAACGATGCGACGGCTTGGCGGCGACAGGGTGATGACAGCTTCACCAAGCTGCGACAGGGTGACGAAAGGTTGGTGAAGCTGTGGCAGGCCGATGTTTGGTGTTTGGAACCTTTTGGAACCTTGACGACTCTACATCTACGAACGCCAAGGGAACTTGACGAACGCCTTAGCTTCACCAACAAGCGACTCTACAGTTTTGTAACATAGTAATTCTGAAGGTTGTGGACAAGGCAACATCCATGAGGAAACGGTGGTGTCTTTGATATTTGATGTACCAGTGCCATCTTCAATGACACTGCCTCAGGACGACTAACAGCGGTCTGTATCATGAACCATGGCCTGTCTCAGCTGCTTCGCCAAGTCGAAGGAGTTGGCCAACGGCCTTGGCACAAAGTGGCATGGCATGTGGCGGTATGCATCCGCAACTGCAGAACGGTCCACATTGAAAAAGTCAAAGCCTTCCCAAAAACAATGCGTGCTTTATTGCTTCCATGAACAATGATAACAATGAACATGAAATCGCCGTGGGGGCTTTGAAAGCTCTCTTTTGGTCCTAACGAGACGGGACAGTCATCAGGTGAGGTCACCAAGCTACTCGCTCGAGGTCGACCATTCCCACGAGCCAAAAGAAAAATCCATTCCCACTCTTCTTCGCCCACGCGGACAAGGAAGGCTTCCCAATCCGCTTGGCTTGGCGTCTGACAGCGAGGAAGACTGCCGCGTCTGACCGGATCCGTTGAATGACTTCTCCGTGCGCCCAGCGACAAATACGCATGCACATAGAAGATGGAGGTGCCTTCCCGCAAGACTTCTCCTTGCACTTTGGCCTGCGACTGCAATCGCAACCAAGGCTGTGTGAAGAGACTTTACTAGTACCAAGGACGCTATTAGGAGCAAAGGGCAACACTACTAGGAGCAAGGACGCTATCAGGGGCGCTCCTGGCCTTACTACTAGGAACAAGAAGCTACTAGTAACAAGGACGCTTACTAGGAGCAAAAGTTGAAAAAGTCCAGATTGCTCAACTTGGGTCACGTTCCATAGTTCACATTGCACAGGCTCAAGTTAACAGTTCTAATATGTTCTAATTGTCTGAGTTGTTCCGATGGCTGACTCACCAATCTCATGATGGCTTACGGTCTGTGACCCACTTCTCCACAAGACATGTCACGCCAAACCCACTTCTCCACCGCGTGCTGCCCCCCAACTCCAAACCAAATGAACTCCAAAGGGCTCGACGCTTGCTCAGCACTGCGTAGACCTTCCCCAGCATATGCTGCTCACAGTTCAAGTCCACAGAAAGCATGGCCTGGACCAGGCGAAGTGGATGCCTTTCTCATGATCCCTACCTGTACGATTCCAACTGTTCTTCCAAATTCCACGTGTCTTCATAAGTTTTCTGCAATCAACTCTAACTCGGATTTGCTTAAGGAACCGGAAAACAAATATTATCCAGAAGGAGGTTCCCCCATGGGGAAAAATCATCCTAATCAAAATGCAGGATCGGGCCGTGAAAGAAGGAACTCCAAATCTCTAGGCAATTGTAAAACATAGACCAAAACACTAGGCTGTGTCTCATACGCAAAAACAATTACTTTACTTCGAAATTCCCCACCCTCAAAGAATTGGTCTTCACAAGAGAAAAGCGGTTCGGCGCGAAAAGGATTCTTTATTGAAAACAAAACCACACATCGAATACTTACTCGTGAGGTTTCTGAACTTCGATATTTTAATGCCTGGCAACCCCACATCCCTGCCAAGTCAACTTGTGGTGGATATGCTGTGGAACTGGTACTTGGGAGCACTCTGGTGAATGTGCTGGTGTAAAGGCTACGCTGGGCTACTCGGGGCCACTCTGGTGGATGTGCTGTGTAAGGGCTACTCTGGGCCACTGTGGGCCACTCTGGTGGATGTGCTGTGTTCTTTGGGTTGCTCTGAGCTACGCTGGGACCACTCTGGTGGATGTGCAGAATACTGAAGTCCAAAGTTCTTAAAGTCTAACAGCCCCACAGTCCTACGGGTGAGAAAAAACTGCTTTGATAAGTACATTACAAGTCTACAACTATCCTGCGATCTCTTTGGTACATGTGCTGTGGAGAAGCTAAGTTGCGCTACTAAAAACTGTGGTTGCTGTGGACAAGCTAAGTTGAACTACTTAGAAATCAGTTTGTGAATGTGCTGTGGAAGAGCTAGGCAGCTAGGTTTAGCTACTCAGGGATCAGTTTGGTGAATGTGGTGTGAATACTCAGAGGTCATTTTGGTGAATGTGCTGTGGAAGTGCTACGTTGAATTACTCAGGGATTACTTTGGTGAACAGGGATCAGTTTGGCGAGCGTGCTGTGAAAGAGCCACTTTGGGCTACTCAGAGATCACCTTGGTGAACGTGCTGTGGAAAAGCTAGCTTGAATACTCAGGGATCACTCTGGAGAACGTGCTGTGGAAGAGCTACTTTGGGCTACTCCGGGATCTCTTTGGTGAACATGCTGTGAAAAAGCTACTTTGGGCTTCTCAAGGATTACATTGGTCAACGTGCTGTGGAAGATCTAAGTTGGGCTACTCAGGGATTACTTTGGCGAGTGTGGTGTGGAAGAGCTAAGTTGGGCTAGTCAGGGATTCCTTTGGTGAACGTGCTGTGGAAAAGCTACTTTGGGCTTCTCAAGGATTACTTTGATCAACGTGCTGTGGAAGATCTAAGTTGGCCTACTCGCGGACTACTTTGGTGAGTGTGCTGTGGAAAAGCTAAGTTGGGCCACTCAGAGACCACTTCGTGAGTGTGCTATAGAAGAGCTAAGTTGGGCGACCGGGCGTACTGAAGTCCGAAGTTCTAAAAACCTAACAACCGACAGGCCTACGGGTGAGAAAAACGAAGCTTTTGTTGGCTTGATAAGTACATTGCAACTCTACAACTACCTTGGAATCACTTTGGTAAATGTGCTGTGGAGAAGCTAAGTTGCGCTACTAAGAACTGTGGTTGCTGTGGAAGAGCTAAGATGAGCTACTTAGAAATCAGTTTGTGAATTTGCTGTGGAAAAGCTAGGTTTAGCTACTCAGGGATCAGATTGGTGAATGTGGTGTCAATACTTAGAGTCATTTTGGTGATTGTGCTGTGGAAGTGCTACGTTGAACTACTCAGGGATTACTTTGGTGAACAAGGATCACTTTGGCGAGCGTGCTGTGGAAGAGTTAAGTTGAACTAGTCAGAGATTACTTTTGTGAGTGTGCTGTCAAAGAGCTACGTTGAACTACTCAGGGATTACTTTGGTGAACAGGGACCACTTTGGTGAGTGTGCTGTGGAAGAGCTACTTTGGGCTACTCAGGGACCACTTTGGCCAGTGTGCTGTGGAAGGGCTAAGTTGCGCTACTCAGGGGCCACTTTGGCCAGTGTGCTGTGGAAGAGCTAAGTTGCGCTACTCAGGGGCCACTTTGGCCAGTGTGCTGTGGAAGAGCTAAGCTGGGCTACTTAGGGACCACTTTGGCCAGTGTGCTGTGGAAGAGCTACTCAGGGACCACTTTGGTGAGTGTGC